CAATCCCTCGCTAGCCCGACGCGTCATTCCACATAGTACCCCGCCCTTCCACGCGCTTGCCGTGTCCGCCTCTCTCCCATGATCCCCTCTCCCATGGTCCCCTCTACCATGGTCCCCTCTCTCATGGTCCCCTCTCTCATGCTCCCGCTCCCCAACGCTCCCCTTTCCCGTTCTCCCCTATCCCATGTTCCCCTCACCCGTTCTCCACTCTCCCTTGCCCTCTCCCTGGTTAGGGGGGATCCACGCTCTCTTTGGGGTTGGCAGGAGGGCAACGGAAGGGGGAGAAGCAGGGCAGTGGAAGGGGGGGAAGCCGGGCAGTGGAAAGGGGGGAAACAGGGCAGTGGAAGGGGAAGAAGCAGGGCAGTGGAAGGGGGGGAAGCAGGGCAGTGGAAGGGGGGGAAGCCGGGCAGTGGATGGGGGGGAAGCAGGGCAGTGGAAGGGGGGGAAGCAGGGCATTGGAAGAGGGGGAAGCAGGGCATTGGAAGGGGGGGAAGCAGGGCAGTGGAAGGGGGGGAAGCAGGGCAGTGGAAGGGGGAGAAGCAGGGCAGTGGAAGGGGGGGAAGCCGGGCAGTGGAAGGGGGGGAGCAGGGTAGTGGAAGGGGGGGAAGCAGGGAAGTGGAAGGGGGAGAAGCAGGGCAGTGGAAGGGGGGGAAGCCGGGCAGTGGAAAGTGGGGAAGCAGGGCACTGGAAGGGGGGGAAGCAAGGCAGTGGAAAGGGGGGAAGCAGGGCAGTGGAAGGGGGGGAAGCAGGGCAGTGGAAGTGGGGGAAGCAGGGCAGTGGAAGGGGGGGAAGCCGGGCAGTGGAAGGTGGGGAAGCAGGGCAGTGGAAGGGGGGAAGCAGGGCAGTGGAAGGGGGGGAAGCAGGGCAATGAAAGGGGTATGGATGGTAGGGAGGGGGGTTTTCTCCCTCTCCCTCTCTCTACCTCTCTCTCTCTCTCTCTCTCTCTCTCTCTCTCTCTCTCTCTCTCTCTCTCTCTCTCTCTCTCTCTCTCTCTCTCTCTCTCTCTCTGCGGGATCCCACAGTGGCGGGACTGTCCGTCTGGTGGCCAGTCTGGGGCCGTGGGGCGGCATGAGATTAGGGGGAACAAGGGAGGGTTGGTATGATGGTTGGGCAACACGGAGGGAGAGGACGTACGGGGGGTTGTGGAGTTGAACTTTATGGACACGCCCTCGCGAACTGGAGGCTAAAGGCAAAATATATTTTGGGCACAACTACGCAAAAGGACGCATGGGATGCTGTTCGCACCTGCAAGCATGGGGCTCAGCCCCAACAGCGCATGGTGCGCTCTGCTCTGGATGGGGATGGACCTCAACCCCCAACCCGTTGCTTGTGGCGGGTGCCCTAAAGATGGAACAGGGCGTATGCGCATAATCAGAAAAGAGTGTCGGCACGGCTGCAGCATAGGCATAGGCCTAGACATGTGCATCGACATGGTAACAGGTTGGGCACAGCAATGACTTGGGCAGCGGGGGGAGGCTTAGGCAAGCTCTAGGTGAGGAGAAAACAGGTTTTGAAGGTGCGGCATTGGTGCACGGAGCATGTGACAAGTCGCGCACACAATGCAATATGGGAAGAGTGGGTTTGGGGAGTCGAGGCATAAGGAAGCATGGGGTGCTATTCGCACCTGCAAGCATGGGGCTCAGCCCCGACCGCGCACGGTGAGATCTGCTGAGGAAGCGGATGGACCTCGACGCCCTCCTCGTCGCTTGTGGCGGGTGCCCTAAAGAAGGAGCAGGGTGGAGGCGCATAATCAAAACCGATTGCCGGCACGGCTGCAACATAGGCATAGGCCTAGACATGTGCATCGATATGGCAACAGCTTGGGCACAGCAATGACTAGGGCAGAGGGGGGGGGGGAGGGGGGGGGGGGGGGGGGGGGGGGTTTAGGCAAGCCCTAGGCAAAGGGAAAGCAAGTTTGAAGGTACGACATTGGTGCAGGATCGACAAGTCGCATTACAAAAGTGGGCATGGGGAAATGAGGCATTTGCAAATGTACAGATGTCATAATTGTAGTGTGTTGCATCATTGTATGTGCACGTGTTGCTATGAGGATGGGTAATGAACATGTGCTTCGAATGTCTAACTCTAGCCTGCCGCCTTACCTCGCCGGCGCCTCGCGAGCTGCCGATGCGTTACCCTCTGTCGGTTGCGCATCGGGTGCGCTTGTCGTCACCGTAAGGCCGTCTTCGCCGCCCGCTCCATGGCGCTCACCACAAGATGGGGAGCCCTCCGCTCCCTCTACAGCACTCCCATCTGTGGGCAAGGGTAGCATAAGCACAAAGGACAACTTGTTTTTCCACTCCCGTGAGGCAGGCTCATGCGCCCATCGCACATCGACTCCCAAATCCCAATACTGCATCCCCTACCAACGATCCAAAACGCCTTACCCTTTTGTGCTTCGTAGGCTTGCCCTTGGTGTGCGCCACCCCATCCACTGCCCTCAGCCAGTCTATACTTTCCGGCCTTTGTCCACTTGTAGAGCGGAAACCCAAATCTGACCCCAGGGAGAGCCCCAGTGGTTCGCGCTAGGAGTTGTGCGGCAGAGGCGGGTCCATCTCTCACACAGCTCGCGAATATGATCCCGTATGCTTTCTTGTGTCCCTCCAGCAGCTTTGCTGTGGCCTTGGCATCGTCTTGGGGGACTGTGAGATTGATAGATATATCATACGTGGGATGTGTGCAAGATTGGACCCACAATCTCTGTTGGTAAGATCCAAATGAAACACCACCCACATCTGCCGCCCATCATTATCAAGCTCACCTGTAGCCAGCGCAGCCTTCTCAAGGCTCTCCACTGCGGCCTTGGCATGCTGGGCAAGGAAAAAAATCAGATCGTCCACTGTGGCGACCCTGTCCTATAGCCTACACTTCCCCGTCAAACCCACACGCCACACCGCGACGAGAGGACCCATGTGGCACATCATGGACACCGTGCCTTGGCGGGCCTCTGACACCGCCTGCTGTGCTAGGTGTGTCCCTCCTCCCACTGGCCTAACCATTTTGCACGTGCACTTCTGGCTGTCAGCAAACGATGGGGGGGGCAGGAAGGAGAGGGAGGGGTGGAGTGTGTCGCCAAATGAGCATGGAGGACAGACTCTGGATGGGGCGGTGGTGCATTTTGGATGGGGTGGTGGTGGACTGTGGATGATGAGGAGGTGGACTCTGGATGGGGGGAGGGTGGACTATGAATGGGGGGAGCTGGACTTTGGATGGGGGGAGGTGGACTCTGAAAGGGGGGAGCGTGGACTCTGAACGGGGGGAGCTGGACTCTGGATGGAGGGAGGTGGATTCTGGACGCGAGGGTGGTGCACTTTGGATGGGGGCGGTGGGCTCGGGGCTATGAGGGTTGGGGTATAGTGGTGTGAGGGCAGGGGGGAGAAGGGAGGCATCTGGTGGTGAGTGGCAAGTAGGTCGAAGTGGGGGACAGGGGGGGGAGGGTACTAGAGTGCGGGTTGAATGGTTGTGGAGGGAGGGGAGGCGGGGGCCTGGCTTGGGGGGGGAGGGCGGAAAGGGTGGGTAAAAGGGTTAAAAGGGGTAGGATTGGGGGATGACAGGCACGACATGAAGTGGCGGTTATCGGTTCTGTTTGTGGAGGATGTAGGGGGTGTTTGGTGTATAGTGGCGCCTTTTGTGTGTGAAAGACGGGCCTTAGGTCCTGCTGCATGTACCCCCTCTCTCTGCTGTAGTCCTACTCTGTTACCCCGCATCGTTGGTCTATCCGCGTCCCCATTTTGCTGCCGTATCTCTTACAGGAACACTCGTTTGAACCCACTCACCGCTTCCCCCCCCCCATTTCCCAGTTCATTTCCATCCCCTGCTCTCCCAACCCTCAGCCGCATTCACTCGCGCTTTCATGCCCCACCCATGATTTCCAAGTGATGTATGTGCCCTCTCTTACCCTACTCCAGACCACCGTCACCCACCGCCCCTCGTCATCCCAACGCTTGGCATTACGGTGGCGTTTTACCCGAAAATAAACGCTATTCTCGCTCTTCTGCAATATGCCCTTCTTCCTCGCCGTGTCCCTGCGCATTTCTCCATGTTTCTCTCGCCCCACTCTCTCTATTCCCTATTTTGTGATGTCAAATCCCCTCTCCTGCACGGTTCCGCTTTGCCGCCCCTCATCCGCCCAACCCTATCTCTCTTCCCAGCCGCCATTCAGCCCGTCCCGCATTCCTCGCAAATCTCCCACCGCACCTGCGAGTCAATCGCCGGTGTACTTCGTTCTTCAGTCGCGTCGGGCCCCTCGTTTCGCCCTCTCTTTCTTTTATTTTCTTTTTTTTTTCAAATGTCCTAGCTTGGGGAATTCCTAGGGAGGGATTCGCACCCCCGCTCTATACCTAAAATGTAGCGCTGCTTTGCGTTACAAGCACTGGGCTCGCCAAAGCATAAGCTGCTCTGCTCCAGCGGGTGGGGTTGGCAGTGAGATTCAAGGCCTGTTCCCGAATGCAAACCAGGTTTTTGTGTCCTGGTTTTGAGCAAGGGGAAGCAGGGCTATCGTTGTTTTCGTTTGCGCATTTTTGTTGTATGTGTCAATTCGTAGTACAAACGTAGCAGTTATGCGAACACGGTATGGTTGGGGCAGAGTGGTGCTGTCGTCCAGAATCTGCCCTGCGACCTCCCAGGTTTTGACGAGGTCTGCTTTCCCATCGCGAGGGGCCAGATCGTTTCGCGTGGGGCAGGTGCCTTTCGTGGGGGTAGATGGACCGCTCGTCATTTTCGCTACCCGAACTCAAGACTCAAAGGTTTTGAGTCTTGAGTTTGGTCTGTCCGCACGCTTTAATTGAAATGGGCACGCAAGGTAGTGCTCCCTCCCTACATAATTAAGTGGAGTATTTGAATTGGAATATCTAAATCATAGCTCGGATTTGATTAGTATAATACGCTTTATGGGCGTTTTTTAGACTACATCATGCAACAGGTGGAATTGCGCGTATTGAAGCATGTGCTGTTCTCTTCCCCGCCAAACGAGCGCCAACAAGCAGTTCTCGAATCTCGAGGTGTCAGACCGTTGGGTCACCAGGATCAACAGGAAGTCTCGTCTCGAATCTGTCAGACCATCTTTCTTCAGTAATCTACAACCCGCGTCGTGTAAATAGAGTAGTACCTGTTTCAGTCGACTTGCCTCATAGGAATACACGTAGGCCTAAAAGTTTATTGACTTCGGCTCCATGACGGGAATCTCTCTGGGTAGGCTGACGGAAGAAAGAAAAGCTTGGCGGAAGAACCATCCTCACGTGAGTCGTGGGTGCTTTGATGTTCACAAGTTGCGTAATTAGGTCGTATGTTCATGAATGCTTCATGAATCCCCGTCTTGCTGTGCAGGGATTTGTCGCCAGACCAGAGGCGAAAGATGATGGCTCCACGGACATGATGACATGGAAGTGCGTTATACCTGGGAAGAAGGACGTGAGTAGCTGTCGGCTAGTTCTGCGTTTCTTTTCCTTAAATGCCTATCTAACGTTTGTTTATGGCAGACGGACTGGGAAGGTGGCCATTACCCTCTGACGATACATTTTACGGAAGATTATCCATCGAAGCCGCCGAAGTGCAAGTTCCCTCCAGGGTTCTTCCACCCAAACGTCTATCCGTCAGGCACGGTGTGCCTCAGCATTCTCAACGAAGACTATGTCAGTATCACTTATCACCGTGGATTACGTTACTTTCAAAGCCACCTGCCAGTTCGCTCTGTTCTGTCTCTCCTCCCGCCCCCCTTCTCCCTCACTCTCTCGCTCTCTCTTCATCTTCACTCCCTCGCTCACTTCACTTATGAGCCTGCAGGGGTGGAGACCAGCCATTTCTGTGAAGCAGATTTTAGTTGGTATTCAAGAGTTGTTGGACCAGCCTAACCCTGCAGACCCGGCTCAAACTGATGCTTACCAGCTCTTCACACAGGTGCGTGCACTCCTCTCATATTCCTCCCAAGCATGACCAGGAATGCTTCTTTTGACTATCATGGCTGAAATACAACTCGTGCCATGTTGACTTCCTTTCAGGATTCGGTGGAGTATAAAAGAAAGGTTCGAGAGCAGGCAAAGCAGTATCCTTCTCTAATTTGACTTTCTGCAGACCTACCGACATGGTGTGTATTGAAAGAGACCTGATCAGGTCTATATGTTCAGCAGCAGCTCTGCATGACAGAGCGGCAAGAAGCAAGCAGCCTTAATGTACTGCACATTCGTTTAGTAGCTATTGGGCTTAGAACTAGTATGGCTAGTAGGTAGAATCCACTCTGTCAACACGACTGAGGAAGCTTCAGATTGATCAGCTAAAATCACAACATTTGAGGTCTCTATTACACTGGAATCCAGCTGTGTAATATAGCCGCCGATGAGTGTTAACAATTGTCTGCTCTATGCATGAAGGCAGCTCTTGAAACCTTCCTTGAGTTCTGTCTCATTCAGGTTGCGTCCAATAAAGACAATCCGGTTAGAGCGCTTCTCCTCTGGGCCCCATGGCCTGTCAGGCGAACCCTCAAATAGAGCATGTACACCCTGCAAGGAAATTTGAATTGTGTGGATTAGGAGCAGGTACAACTTACAAATATCCGATAAATGTCGGGCGCAAAGGTGAAACCAGTGGTAGTTTGCATGGCGGTCTTACCTGGAACACGAATCGTTCCCTGCACTTGTGGATAGCCAGGACTCCCTTCATGCGATAGATGTCATCACTCTTCTCAGCAAGCAGGTCGCCCAGCCAGTCATTTATCTGGGAAACAAGGACAGTTCTCCAACGGAGGATATGAATGATGCAAAAACTGCATCTAGTAGCTGAAAGGCATGCAATGAGGTTCATCTCAGAGGCATGCAATGAAGTGCAGGATAAAAAACTTAGGAACAGAAATCAAGACAATGGGTTAACATGCTAAAACATTCGTACCTTCTCCAGGTCGAGGTTTCCTTCGCACTGTATGCTCACTGAAGAGACGCCTGCTGCATGCTTTGCATGAGCTGGATCGACAAAATCACGAGGGAAAGAAAGAAAAAAACACAAGATTATTGGCAGTCGATGTAGGTAGTACCCGTGAGCAACGGGCAACATTCACAAAGCAATAGACAAGTTGACAAAGTCACATGCCACCACACCGTGCAATAGCCTGAGGCACTTACAATGGTGGTGGTGGTCATGGTCATGATGGTGGTGGTGATCATGCGCATGCTCCTCTGTGGAGTGATCACCACCACATGTCCCACAGTGCTCGTGATCATGATCATGATCATGCTCGTGATGGTGGTGATGGTCATGGCTGGCTGCCTCGTCAAGAATGTGAGGCTGCACGTCCTTCTCAATCCTGGCAGAAGACGAAGAAAAAAGAGACGGAACAACAGCACACGCTGGACATAGATTTTTGTGCTGCCGGTTTCCGGTGGAGAATTCTAGGAGCAAAGGCAAGGACAATGTCAGCTGCAGCAAAGACACGCACCTTTCGAGGTTGAAGCCCCCGATGCCGAGCACTTAGTCTAGGTCCACCTTGCCTTACGATGCTGTGACGATTGCTTCGACTCAGGAGTGACATAAAACCAAACACATACCTCTCCAGGTCGAAACCCCGATGCCGAGCACGTACTCCAGGTCCACCTTGCCATACGATGCCGTGACAATTGCTTCGACTCAGGAGTGACATAAAACCAAACACATACCTTTCGAGGTCAAAGCCCCCGATGCCAAGCACATAGTCCAGGTCCACCTTGCCATACGAGGCTGTGCTCATGCGTGCCATGGAGTTGATGTCCTGCCAGCATGCAGCCACACAGAGGAAAACAAGACTTTAAGGGAATAACAGAGCCTACCAATGCATGATATCAGCCAGCTGTCTACAAATAAAGAAAGAAAGAAAGAAAAAGGATAAAAAAGCGGTCATAACCGGCATTGAGGCATTGAGCCTGAAACCCAGTGGATCGCAACTTACCCGGAGCCTCTCAAGGAGATCCGTGACCTCGCTGTCTGACACAAGGTCCACCTGCAATGCACAGCCAGAACCAGATGTCAGATTTCAGGGGGTTTTGTATTGACTGCCAGAGTACGATATACACGGGGAAGGACATTGCATACACGGGGAAGGGGACACGAAGGGGAGAGAGGAAAGAAACGACGGGGAAAGGGAGAGGGGGGGGGGAGGAGGGAGGGGGAAGGAACGTGTTTGCATGTGTGTGTCTGAGATACAGAGAGCACTTCTTCTGACTCACCTTGTTAACAATGATGCGGTCAGCAAACGCCACTTGCTCGACAGCCTCGTTGACCTCCGTTGCCCCCTCAGCTGCGGCCTTCTCTGCTGCGTCCAGGTGCCTCGTGACGTGCTTCGCGTCCACTAGGGTTACCACTCCGTCCAGTTGTAACCCCTCCGCCAGCTCCTCTTCCAAAAAGAACGTCTGGATGATGGGCGCGGGGTTGGCCAGGCCTGGCGAGACAAGGGGGTGCGGGGGGGAAAGGGCGGGGGGGAAGGGTGGGGGTGGGGGTATCAGAACAGAAGGGCTGCCAGCTCCTCTTCCACGAAAAACGTCTGGGTGATGGGCGCAGGGTTGGCCAGACTTGGCAGGGAAGGGAGAACAAGCGGGGGGCAGGGGGAACGGGGAACAGGGAGTCGGGGAAGGGGGAAGGGGGAGCGGGGAACGGGGAATGGAGTTTGAGGGGATTGCGCTTGGAGTCCACTGGGGTTACCACCCTGTCCACTGGGGTTACCACCCTGTCCACTGGGGTTACCACCCTGTCCAAGCGTAAGGGGGGAGCATTAAGGGGGTGTGCGAAGGAGGAGGTCGGAGGAGAGGAGTTGGAACGAATTTCGTTTTCAAGCCCCATCAGGTCTCACGGCTTACTACTCCCTCTCAGTCTCAACTTGTGGGGAAGGCATAGTCTTGGTGACCTGTTTCCGTTCTTTGGGGGCAGAGGGGGGCGGGCGGGGGGAAAAGGGGAGGGGAGGGGAGGGGAGGGGAGGGGAGGGGAGGGGAGGGGAGGGGAGGGGATGGGAGGGGATGGGATGGGTAGGATGGGATGGGATGGGATGGGATGGGATGGGATGCTCCCCCAACGCTCGCTCACCCATATCTAATCAGTCACCCATTCAGCAAGTCAACCGCCCCACCTGTGTTTCGATCACAATATGTTTGAACTTGTCTCGTTTCGTGGTGATGAGATCGCTCAGCATCCTCACGAGGACGCCGCGCACAGTGCAGCACAGGCACCCGTATCTCACCACCGCCACAGCCTCCCCTCTCAACCCTCCCTCGCTCACCCACACCTAGAGCTACTCCAGCTCACCCGTGGTTTCTATCACAATATGATCAAACTTGTCTCGTTTCGTCGTGATCAGGTGGCTGAGCGTCCACACGAGGTCGCCGCGCACAGTGCAGCACAGGCACCCGCTGCTCAGCACCACCACGGCCTCCCCTCCCACCGCTCCCTCTCTCACCCATACGTAAACACTCAGCAGGTTAACTGTCTCACCTGTGGTTTCGATCACAATATGGTCAAACTTGTCTCGTTTTGTGGTGATGAGATCGCTCAGCATGCGCACGAGGTCGCCGCGCACAGTGCAGCACAGGCACCCGTTGTTGAGCACCACCACGTCCTCCGACCCCGCTAACGCGTCCGCCACTAACGAGCCGTCAATGTCCACCTCGCCGAACTGGGAGGAGGGAGGGGGGGAGGGTTGGGGGGGGGCGGGGTTCGAGAAACGAGGACGATGGGAAATGATGCAAAAAGGGGAGGGATAAGGGGTAGGGAGGAGAGGACCGACGGAAAGATGCGCCAAACGAGGTGATGTGTTGAACATCACACACCACGACCTCGGATTGCGCTAACGCGTCTGCTAATAACGAGCCGTCAATGTCCACCTCGCCTAACTGGGGCGAGAGGGGATTCGGGGCATGAGGAGGATTGAGAACTGGCAGGGAGGAACGGACGAGGCAACGGGGAGCAAGCAAAGCGAGCGAGTGCCGAAAGGCCAGACTCTCTCGCACAGGTGGTGGTACTTGACACCACACCAATCCCCGCTCGCTCGCTCACCTCGTTCTCAATGACCGCAATCCGCTTGCCAGGTTGTCCGCCTTCAGGATGTCATGAAACCAATGCTCTCTCACCCCAATCCGTCCACTAGCTCACCTCGTTCTCAATGACCGCAATCCGCTTGCCGTGATCCGCCTTGAGAATGTAGTTCAGCAGGGTCGTCTGCCATCAAACCAAGGGAAAGCAGAGCAAAGCGACGAAAAATCTGCCGTAATCAGGATTTTACACGATTCACCTAGTTGACGAAATCTGGAGTTTACACGATTATCCTAGTTGACGAAATCTGGAGTTTACACGATTCTCCTAATTGACGAAATCCGGAGTTTACACGATTCTCCTAGTTGACGAAATCTGGAGTTTACACGATTCTCCTAGTTGACGAAATCTGGAGTTTACACGATTCTCCTAGTTGACGAAATCTGGAGTTTACACGATTCTCCTAGTTGACGAAATCTGGAGTTTACACGATTCTCCTAGTTGACGAAATCTGGAGTTTACACGATTATCCTAGTTGACGAAATCTGGAGTTTACACGATTCTCCTAGTTGACGAAATCTGGAGTTTACACGATTCTCCTAGTTGACGAAATCTGGAGTTTACACGATTCTCCTAGTTGACGAAATCTGGAGTTTACACGATTCTCCTAGTTGACGAAATCTGGAGTTTACACGATTCTCCTAGTTGACGAAATCTGGAGTTTACACGATTCTCCTAGTTGACGAAATCTGGAGTTTACACGATTATCCTAGTTGACGAAATCTGGAGTTTACACGATTCTCCTAATTGACGAAATCCGGAGTTTACACGATTCTCCTAGTTGACGAAATCTGGAGTTTACACGATTCTCCTAGTTGACGAAATCTGGAGTTTACACGATTCTCCTAGTTGACGAAATCTGGAGTTTACACGATTCTCCTAGTTGACGAAATCTGGAGTTTACACGATTCTCCTAGTTGACGAAATCTGGAGTTTACACGATTATCCTAGTTGACGAAATCTGGAGTTTACACGATTCTCCTAATTGACGAAATCTGGAGTTTACACGATTCTCCTAGTTGACGAAATCTGGAGTTTACACGATTCTCCTAGTTGACGAAATCTGGAGTTTACACGATTCTCCTAGTTGACGAAATCTGGAGTTTACACGATTCCCCTAGTTGACGAAATCTGGAGTTGACACGATTCTCCTAGATGATATCGCACACATTCAGATGTGAATGCTCGCACGCAGATCAGTCCGCGAGTCGCGTCTCACCTTGCCGGAGCCGAGGAATCCCGTGATGATGGTGACGGGCGCGCGGTGGCTCTTGAGTCCACTCAAAAGCTATCGTACGAAGATCGGTCCCGTGCGCCGTGTCTCACCTTGCCGGAGCCGAGGAATCCCGTGATGATGGTGACGGGCGCGCGGTTGTCAGGCTCCAAGTCCGACATCATGTCCTCCGCCGCCTCTTCCGCCTTGGCTTGATCATTGGCCACGCTGAGGGGAGAAAACAAGAGGAGAAAAGAGAGGGGAGAGATGGGGAGAAGAGGGGGTTGCGGTTGTCAGGCTCCAGGTCCGACAGCATGTCCTCCGCGGCTTCTTCCGCCTTGGCTCGCTCCGCCTCCGCTTGCTCGTGGCCAAGCTGCGCTCATGGGGAAAGAAGGGGGAAAGGAGGAGATTGCGGTTGTCAGACTCCAGATCCGGCGGCTGCCTGCTCATCGGGGTGCATACCGAGAATATTAATTTCTACGACCTGCGTTGTGCGACGCGATCTGTCTTGCACGTTATGTGCTTACATCTCTTGCGTTAGTAACCAGATTTAGTTCTAAAGAGGTATTAATCCAAATCAAACACAGCCGGCGTCGACTCGAAATACATCTCACTGCCCTGCGTTGCGAACCTACCTGCAAAAGGTTCGCGCGGGGAACCTCCTCTGCGCGACGTGCTGAAGGTTTCGTGGGGCACGAAGCGGCCGCTCGACTCTTAAAGCCAGACTCGAGATGCTGGAAATACGCGCATTTAGGCTCACGCGGCTCGCCGCGATAGAGGGTACCGCCAAACGCGTGGTGAAACGCGCAAGTGCTCTAAGAGCTTCCATGACTGATTAACTCTGGTGTAGTGAATCAGATCAGTAACACCCGAACGGGGCCCACTATTATCGGCAGGCGTGGGAAGATAACTCTAGGGCCTCGTCCGTCACGAGAGAATATGACAGCGCAGCGGGGAGGCGAGCTGAAGAAGCAACGAGAAGCCAAGGCCCAGCACCTGAGCAAAACTTAGGGCGGATTCCTGCGTCGTGTCATTCTGCGGATGACACCCGAATTTGCCCCTGAGCTTGGTTCGGCCGAGCCTAGCTTACAGGCAAAATCGGGTGTCATCCACGGGATGACAAGATGCAGGAATAATCTTGTGAAAGTACAAGTGCTGTAGTGAAGCGTTTCAGTACAGTACACCCTGAAGTCATGGCTGGTTTGCAGGAGTGAGTATAGGGTGAGGTGAGGTGAGAGGAGGTCCGGGCAAGATGATGAAAGCTGCTGAAAGCGCCCAGGGGAAGCAGAAAAGTGCTGGTTCGACAAGTCCCGGAGCTGGAACCCAAGCCAGCTTGTCAGGTGAGGTGAGGAATCAGTGCATCTCAACTCCGAAATATCACTCCACATCGCATCAAGTTTGGCTGTACCGAAGCACAACTATTTGTCCGCACAGAACCAAGTGCTCAGGGAGTGGGGTCTGCATTCATGAGTCCAAACCAAGTCTGTTCGAAGGCATTGTTGGTCAGGGGGGGACTGACGAGGTCTGGAGTCAGGTTCAGCCTATCAGGCGTGGTTGCGACTGTTCGCGACGGTTCACGAAAGTTCGCTTAGGGGACAGACCAGACCTGAAACCTCGCTGGATAAGAACCTGCTGACGTGTGTTCACAGGGTACCCCCGTCAGCAGCCACTTTTGCTGGAAGTGTGGTATGTGGTTCGGTAGGGTGAAGCCACGGTGACATGAATCTGGTCAATCTGGAAACGGCCAATTTCGTACACACTCAAATTATGCCCGGAAAAAGTTCAGGCGTAATCCCTTTGACTTTTGTGACACTGTTATAGCAGAGCTTTGGCCTGGCTCGCCACCACCCCAACCACCCCTTCCCTGGTGACGCGACTGTGCTACAACGTATATGCCATTAAGTCCTTGACATTTTTGTCCAGATACTAACCTACCGTTCATAATTCGTTAGTATCCAGCACGCTATACTCCTATCGACTGTAGTACGTACGGTCAACGTCGCAAAATGTCCCTATCTGCCAATGAAATTCTGACGAGGTTCCTTGCGATTTGAGATTGGCTGGACGAATTCGCAGATTATTTTCGCGACATCCAATTCCGCTATGAATGCCACTCAGTCGCAATAAACTTGGTTCGCAATTCAGATGGCAACCCAACGGCTAATTAAATATCGCCAGCTGGTACAATCAGCAAGCTGTACGCAGGCACGTGTACTGTGCAAACATTTTCATCCATTATGTCTTACGATTACGGTCCTATTCTAATCCTCGTGTCAAGTGCATTTGAGGCATTTTCCCCTTTTTAAGAACCAATCATATAAATATTTAGGCAATCCGCGTGACACGAACAGGTCCGTCCCGAATACGAAAACACGACCCTCGTTCCCTCAATCACCATTAACTGCACATTTTGAAAATGATTTCTCAAGGGGGGCAGTTTCGCTTTCGTACAAGCGTGTGGTTGGTTAACGAAATTTCTCAATAAAGTCGTCAAATTCTCGTTCAAATTAGCCCTTTTCGTGAGACCACGAAAAGGGTTCTCCTTATTATTTGTTTTGCGCGTTTTGAGTCTGCGCTGCTTGTAGAAAGGTCGAGAACGAGATGTTACTTTTTTTGGCTGGGTGTTTCTGACCAGACGACAAATTCGCTGAGCGAATCTGATTTCGTCGCAAGTGGCGGAGCTGCAGCATTCCTGCTGTTGACCCGCCAGCCAAGCATAGCACAGTCGCGTCACCACCAGGGAAGGGGTGGTTGGGGTGGTGGCGAGCCAGGCCAAAGCTCTGCTGTAACAGTCTCACAAAAGTCAAAGAGATTACGCCTGAACAGCTCTCGGGGCATAATTTGAGTGTGTACGAAATTGGCCGATCTGGAAACCTCGTTTCATCTCTTTGGATTTGCTTCCACGAGGTTCGTGAAAGGTCACTGAGGGCCTGACCAGCGTGTACGTTTTGGGATTATTAAGAGTTAGGTACGTATTCCACAAATGCAACACAATTGTACCGTCGGGTGTGAAGGTTACGTCCTGTCCCCGAAACTCGGGACTTCGGTGTACGAATGACTCCCGTCAAGAAAATTCGCCCACTTGTGTTCGAAAGCTTCGCACAGAGGGTTCCTGTTCGGGCATGGCGGACATGATTTGTGGCAACGAGTCTTGTGGACCTGACCCACTGTTCAGACGTGCATCAGTACGTTTCCGCTCGTTTTTTCTCTTCCCACCAGGGTACAAGTGGAGTACACCGCGCGTTTTATAGCACGAACTGTGCAGGTCCGCGTGGGGGTCGACATTCACTGTTCACAATGTTTCGAGTGTACTGTATCCCCTGGTGTGCGTTAAACGTACGCGCTGGACATGCCCTGATCAGTGAACGGTTCACAGTACCACACCTTTATCAATATAAGGACGCGTTACATTGCGTCCGCTCCGACGATCCTTTCGCGATCCTTGCACTGTATAAAGCGCATTACCGCACTGCTACAGTGCCCCGGAAAGGGGCAGGTATAGGTCGTGTCCCCGTAGTGCAAACTCCAAGAATGTTGGAAGGAGGCACTTAGCACATAGGGCGGTACGCCCCCGGCAAATTTGCTTGTAGTGTTCCCAAGAAAGTAAGAGCGCTGTCGTATGTGCAGGTGGCAGGGGCTAGAACGATGTCGTATGCGCAGGTGGTAGGGGCGGGGACGCTGTTGTTAGCTGCAAAAGGGTCCACGTAGGCATGTCACGAGGTGTTCGCATAGCGTGTCCACTCTGGGTTTCAGGTGCGCACGTTGATTGATGCGTTTCCACTAGAACAAAACAAGATTTGACTCCAAACCATCAACTGATTCTACTATAGATAGACTCGAAACTATATGAAGTTGGAAACAGCAAAGAAACACGTAAAACCATTATCAAAACCACCATCATTTCGAAACTACAACACACGTCGACGAGGAGGAGTACATGGCGGAACTCTTCATGATTCCATCATCGCAGATGACGTGTGTCAATTGGCTAGTGTGGTGTTTCCGTGTCAGCCCGTGAGTAGGTGGATCGCAACGGTGAGATTTGTTGGTGTGTTTGACACATTGCGCTCGCAACTGGTCATCGACCACTCAGGAGTGCATTGACGTGGAACATTTGATTTCTACTGGTGGCGACAAATGTTTCACATAGAGACTGCGACTGTTTTCATTGGTCGGGTTGCGTACATGGGTGTTGCACCTATGGAATCATTGCAGCTAATTTTTTTTTGCGATTGGTGCAACGACGACAACGAGTGGGAAGCACCTTCATCTCTACTCTTGTTCTCCCTCACTTTTCTCTAGTGCTCTCTTTTCTCTCGCCACTTTTCTCCTACCTAGCTAAAACCTCTCGTGAGATGGTATCATGCTAGGTTAGGTCCCCCCTCCCCCCCCGCTTACGCTTCCACCCCTAGCCCTAGCCCTAGCCCGTGTCTTAGCCGTGCCCTAGCCCTTAGCCAACGCCCGAGCCGCGCCCCGCCCTAGCCCGCCGTTGTCCCCCCCCAACCCCCCCTCCCCCCTCGCTCTCGTCGCGACCCCACGCTCGCCGGCCCCGCCACTTCGCGCCGGCCCCGTCAGCCCGCGCTAGCCCCGCCAGCCCGCGCCGGTCCCGCCACTTCACGCTGGCCCCGTCAGTTCGCACCGGCCCCGCCACTTCGCGCCGGCCTCGCCAATCTGCGAACGTTGGCCCCACGCCCACAGGCCTCGCGTCCGCGCCGACCCTGACCCCGCACCGGCCCCTCCTTCTCGCCGGCCCCTGCTCGCGCTGGGCCCAGTCCACATCGGCCCACAGCTCCCGCCAGACCCTGCTCGTAGGCCTCTCTGCTCGCCAACCCCAACTCTCGTCGGACCCTGTCCACGCTGGCCCCAGTTGCCGCCGGCTCTAGCCGCGCAACGCCGCCGAGCCGTTGACCCGCCGAGCCGCCGAGCCCCCGCGCCGCCGAGCCGCCGAGTTGCCGTGCTACAGGGGCGACCCGCCAGCCTTGGCTCCCCCTCTGCGCCGGCGCTCCCGCCGGCCGTCTCCACAGCTCTCCACCGCTCTCCACCGCTCTCCACCGCTCGCCACCGCTCTCCATCGCTCTCAACCGCACTCTCCTCCTCCACCTCTAGCGCTTGTCGGTTGCTGCAGCCATGGGGATGGCGGACGATGTGCTCCGCCTGGACGCGGAGGCTTTGAGGCGTGGCTGTCAGACCTCCGCCGCTCGCTAAGGGGTCAGTGCCAGGATAGCCAGTCCCTGGCCGTCCACGTAGCGCTAAGCTCCCCTGCCCCGACCCACCTGCTGCCCTCTCTGACGCCCCCACGCCCGCCGAGCGTGAGGCCTTTGCAGCTGCTGAGCTTGCCCGCTCTGACTGGGAGTCACGCGACGCAGTTGCGCAGCTTGCTATTAGTCGTGCCCTCCCCCTGTCCGAGCGTCCCCGTTTTCAGACCGTTAAGACTGCGAAAGAATTCTTAAACCCTGACTTACCAGTACCAACTCTAGACTGGCCCCCGTTGCGGCCCCGTGTGTGACCGTCCCAGTCACACCGCAGCTCGTTGTTACCGCCGCCTCGACGACCTCTTCCGTCTCCGGTTCGGCCCTGCGCCGGATATCCCAGATTGGCACAGCCTGGTACGTCGCCGTGTGCTGGTCTATGAGATGGACATGGATCAGATTAGGTCTGCTTTGTATGCCATGTATGCTGATGACTCTAGTGCCACTAGGCCCTAGTATCCTGTGTTGCCTAGTGTAGATGTATCCACTGTGCGTAGTCTAGGCTCCCCTACTGCGTTAGGCATAGGATCTCCTTCTTTGTTTAGCCTAGGCTCTACGCTAATGCCCTCGCCGGCTACCGTTACCGCCGCGCTCTCCTTTACGCTGTACTCTGGTGTGTTTGCCTAATTGTTTCGCGACTGCACTACGCTCACGCTGCTTGCCGCCCCTGATGCTGTAGG